AGCGTGGAGAACAGAGAAGGGGCAAAACAGTCACACAAGGCCAGTGAGAGGCTACGGAAGCCGCTTAGGGGAGGCCGTCACATCAGCTAGGCAGCAGAGAGACGAGAAGAGTGAACAGATTCAAAATATGTAAGAGCTAAAATTGTCAGGGCACAGTGATAACTTGAATGTGTAGCTGAGGAAGAAGGAAGTATCGGGTGATATGGGGATCCTAAAGTATGGTCTCCAAATGCTTTGAAACTCCTCTCATCAAGAGGTGAAGTTCATGTCCCTTTCCTTGAGTCTCGGTTCTGTGACTCCCTGGCCAGTAGAACATGGTGAAAGCGATGCTGGGTCAGTATCTGGGCCTAGACCTTAAGGTACTGGCAGCTTCCATTTTCTTTCTCTTTAGAAGTTTGCTCTTAGAATCCGGCTGCCATGCTGTGAAGATGCCCAAACTTCCCTGTGGAGAGGCCCACAAAGAGAGGACCCAGAGTTAGCACCAACTTGCCAGCTAGTGAGTGCACCATCTTGGGAGTGGGTCTTCCGACCCCCGTCAAGTCACCCCGAGTGATGCTGCACGGAGCAAGGACTGTCCCTGCCAAGCCCCATATAACTTGTAGATTGGTGAGCAAAATAAATTATTTTATCATTTTCAGTTTTGGGGTAGTTTATTACATAGCAGTAGAAACACTGTAAGAGGACTGCTAGGTTTCTGGCTTTCATTCGAGGATGGATCGGAGTCGTTTATGATGCAGAGACCACTGAAAAAGCCTAGGTTGGGGAAAAAGATTATGAGTTTGCTTTTCAGCTTGTGAGTTTGCAGTGCTTCTGAGACATTTAAGTTGAGAGGTCCTGGGATGCCTGGGTGGCTCAGTGGGTTAAGCATCTACCTTCAGCTCAGGTCGTGATCCCAGGGTCCTGGGAACAAGTCCCGTATTGGGCTCCTTGCTCATCAGGGTCTGCTTCTCCCTCTGCCTGCCTCTCTCTCTCTCTCTCTGACAAATAAATAAAATCTTTTTTAAAAAAAAATTGAGAGGTCATGTGGGCTGGACTTGGGTTTGTGGGTGTGTAGCTCAGGAGGGAGGTTGGGTTTGAAGATGGAAATTGTGAGTCAGTTGGAAACTGGTGTCACCTAAAGATGTGAATGTGGATGTGGATCTAGAGCGAAAATAGAAGTGGATCTTGGTGTGAGGAACTCTGACATTTCCTAGTGGGCAGAGGAGAATGAAGCTGCAAAGAAGACCTGAAAGGAGGAGGAGGAGAACCAGGAGAGGGTGTATCACCCAGCCGACAGAAGAGTTTCAGGAAGGAGGGAGGGAGGGAAAGAGGGAGGGAGGGATCCCCAGGGTCAAGTGCTGCCAGAAATACAAGAACAGGCTGAGCCAGGCCCACTTTCCCCCAGGCCTCCCAGGGACCAACATCACAGTAAGCAGTATGGCTGGGTTACCAGGAAGCCGGGGATGGGACTGGGGAGCAAAGGCAAGATGAGGCTCACACCTGCGTCCACAAGCCAGTTCCTCCCTGGAGCCTTGTTTCTTAAACAGTAGTCCCTAAATCAGCATCATCATCACTTGGGAGCTTGTTAGAAATGCAGACTCTCAGGCCCTGCCCTACTGAATGGGTCTGCACATACACTTGGGTCCCTGAGTTGAGTCACCAAATCAGGCGCTGGACAGTAACTCAGGGAAGCCGCCAGATGGCGCAAAACTGACTCGAGTCACCAGCGGAGGATCAGCCCGGGCAACAGAGGTGACTGATCACACCTACTTTCCCTCAAGTTTCCAGATCTAGCTCTTAAACGTAGCCTGCACATCAGAATCACCTGGGTAACGCCTCAGTTCAGGAACTTGGACACCTAGATCCCAGCAAAGACCCCCCCCCACACACACACACTATGGATCAAGCGTCCATGGATTTATTGAAATATCTTTAGGTGGGGGAGAAAAATATATTTTCTCATCTAGTATATTTTGGGATGATAGATTCCTTTATTTCTCTGTGTAAAGCAGTGCCTTCCTCAGTTTTTCTAATTTAACCTTCAAAAAGGTTTCCTCTAGTTCCAGGAAGGTGGGGCTTTTTTTGTTTGTGTCTTTTATCAAGTCTTCAAAGATTTTAGTGACTCCAGGCAGAGCTGCTTACGGACTTTTTATTCCTCTGGTGGGTTCCTACTTTGTGCAACTACTTCCTTCACATCAAGTCTCATGGAGTCTAGTGGCTGGAAAAACTCCCGGAATGGAAGAGCCTTAGTTCTGTGCACAAGCTGGGGTGTTTTCTCTAACAGCCTTTGGGAGGGCTGATAACTCAGGGCTCGTCCACAGTGACTCTGACTCTCTTTCTTGGCACCCTTCTACCAGACCCCAGCACTCAGGCTATGGATTACCAAAGTCTACGAATTCTCTGTAATTTACACTTGCCCACACTAATAATATCAACAGCAATAATAACGGGCGTTTATTGAATGCTTATTATGTGCCAGGCACTGTTCCAAGATCTTTACATTTACAAACTCATTTACTATCCATAACAACCCTGTGGGAGGCACACTGCATTTTTGCACGTTATGGATTACCCTCCCCGTTTCACAGAGTGGGAAACTGAGGTTTCTGAAGGTTAACTAATTTGCCCCGGGCTAAAGTCGGTACAGGAAGAAGGCTGGCCCTCTCAATGCCTGTGAGGCAGTAGAGTGAGGTGATAGGAGGGGGTGGGGACCCCTGCTCGGGAAGGGTGAAGTATTCTGTCACTGACAGTGTTTAGAATTGTCAGGCTGATTTTCAGTTGGTTTTAGGATTGTTTTTAGATTTTCTAATGTACTGCCTCCTATTTGGGTCCTTTCCATATGTGTTATCTTCTGCCTCCCCAAAGTCTGTGGAGTCCTGGGGCCCATTGGCTCATCAGCTGCCCAGGACAGCAGCAAAATCTAGGTTATTACTGTGCAGGTTCAGATGGAGAAAGGAAGAAGGGCAAAGGCCAGTAGGTCCTCTGGAACCCAGCTCAAGCTCCACCTCCTTCAGGAAGCCCTCCCTCATTTCCCTGCTCCTCCCTCTGGTGTGCTCTCCTGAGACGCTGTGGGGAGGACCACCCCATTGCTCTTAGGTTTGACCTTTGAACACCCTCATTGCTCACTTGCACAAAGCAATGGCTAATGGCTATTCTGTCCCCAGGTATTTCCATTTGGCAAATTGTCTGCGTGCCCCGAGCTGGCCACTGACCCGGCCACCAACCCCGTCTCCCCCTGCCCCACTGCTCCAGCCCCTTCCCCTTAGTGTAAGGTATGGAGGCTAAGGTGGTGGGCGCGTGAATCTGGACTGGGCAGTCTGGGAGGGTGGAGGGATGGGGATGGGGGCAGAAAACGCACATGAGCCTGAACACAGGCCCAAGAACTGGGTCCATTGGAGAAGTTCACCCCAGGGTCACGTGCCTTCTCAAAGGAAGAGGGAAAATGTGCAGGCAATTCAGAGTTAAGGCCACTTTTCATTCTAAGCTGGGGGAGCATTTTGTTTTAGAGTTTTTTCCCAGGCCAAAAATGCACTGGTTGCAGCCAGACCGCAAATGCAAGGATGTGTACTGGGGGGTAGGGGGGAGACATCCCTGGCAAGACTTCCAGCTAAGAAGAAGAGGATCAGAGTGTCCCTGGCCTTGTCCAGGGAGGATGGTCGTTTCCTTGCAGCCTCCCTCCCTCGGGACTTGAAGTACCCTGACTGTCTGGATCTGATGTCATTCCACAATCCTCGCTCCTGAGACACTTGCACCAGCTACGTGCTCAGTAAAGAGGTTCGGAGGAGGGAAAGACCCAACCAGGCTCTCCAGCCTGAGCAGGAGGGCATCTCTGCCCCCAGTCATTTGGGTCTCTGGGGGGCGGGGGGGCTTGAGCCAGACTGAGCTGATGGATCTTTTCCAGGTCTCCCTCTAACCCTTGGCCCAGCCCTCCCCCAGCACATCCACCTAAGGTCTCAAAGGACAGGTTTCGAGCGTTGGGAGGAGTGGGGTCCGCTGGGCAGGCAGGCCAGCTGGCCCTGGGGCTTGCTGTAGGGGCTGAAAAGCGAGCTCTAAATCAGAGCCTCCTTGACCCCACTTCCCAGGCCTTGGGGCTCCTAAGTTTCCCGGTAAAACTCTTTACCTCCTCCCCATTCTTACCAGATCCCTGAAGCTTGCAACAATTTCTAAATTGCAGGCCGATGGGATTTCTCAGCATAGCCAAATAGAATGAATGAAAGATACGCCTCAAATTCCCCCAACCCCAACCTCCCAGCTTCCATTCTCCACTCTACTTCTTCCCTGTGCCCAGTATCCTTACCACCAGCGCCTCCATCCGAACCCGTGAACACTCCACGGGCCCCACGCAACCACTTTGCTATTGAAAAGCACTTGATTTGGATTTAACCATTATATCAACAAATGTCTGATTTCTATTTTGTGGGGCTTCCCCATCTTCCCAGTTTTCAATGACCAGAGTATCAGAAGGGGTGAAGAGCTTTGACCTTTGGAAAGGGCCTTTCTAGTTTTTGAAGGATTTGAGTCTTCTCTTGCTCGGGGAATGATACTAAGTTGGGTTGCTCTTCTGCCTTGGTCTCTCTATACGTGATAGGGAAGTTATCACTTTTACCATCGCCTTTTTCTCTAGTTTTAAGGCAGTGGTTAAAATCCCAGGTAGTGAACGTATCTAGAGCCACGCATCCTGGATTTTCTGGGACAACCTTGATTACAAATACTTGGTCCCTATTGTCAGATCTGGTGTCCGATCTTGTGACCCGATTTGGGATCAGAATTTATGGTCTTGAAAATTTGTGAATTATTCCTTCCAGAAATGGGCTGGAATTTTATTGATTAATATGCATACACAAACCATTCTGCTGCTGGGCGCTGGCCTGCCCAGCAGAGCCTGTGATGCTGCTCAGCGGGAATGCAGCCCTGTTACTGGCGGTCATCCCTCGGGGGGCACTGGGAGACTGTCAGCACTCAGTCCCCTTGTCTCCACCCCCCCCCCCCCCGGGCGCCAGACAGGGGAGGGGCTTACTCACCGGCCCAGAGCGTGCACAGCACAGGCTGCATCTTCCCCACCATGGTCTCGCTTCCTCTGTGCCCCAAGCCCAGCCTGGCAGGGAGAGGCCCCGGGCAGGTCTGGGCTGGCTAGTTAAAGTCACAACGGCCTCTGGCCTGGCCCAGCCCTCTGTCCCTGTGGTTTCCCTTCTCCTGTATACCTTTGCCCAGCCTGCCCCCTCCCCTGCCAGCTGCTCAGCAGGACTGGCAGGTGAGCTCACTTATGGGACTGGACTCCTGCTCTGCCTACGCCACCAGAGGCCTTCCCCATCTTCACCTGCCCCCCCCCCCCCACACACACCTTCTCTCCACTTAGCAGGTGTACAGAGCCCTGGGCTTCTCACCAAGGTGTGGGCTTCGATAACAGGAAATTACCATCTCGTCATAAAAAGGGCATGATCTCAGGGGCAGGTTTTCAAAGCCAATAAAACAAGGGTGTTGCCCACAATTGCTGGAATACTCCCAAGCACAGTAGGATCTGTTCTTCTATTTCCCTCCCTTTCCTACAACCCCCACCCCACCCATGCTACAGACAGATGCATAAAGAAGACAGGAAGTCTCTAGGCTCAGAGAGTTGATCATTTGGTTGGGGAGATAGAGAGTACACAAGTAAACAAAGGAGACAATCCTAGAAATAACCAGACCAACTTGTCTCAGTTTGCTGAGACTATTATAAGTAACGCTGCAATAAACATAGGGGTGCATGTATCTTTTCCCATTAGTGTTTTCATTTTCTTTGGGTGTATATTCAGTAGTGGAATTACTGAATCATATGGTATTTCTATTTTTAATTTTTTCAGGAGCCTCCGTACGGTTTTCCACAGTGGCTGCACCAACAGTGCAAGAGGGTTCTTTTTTCTCCACATCCTTGCCAACACTTGTAATTTGTTGTCTTTTTTTTTTATTTTAGCCCCGCTGGCATGTGTAAGATGATATCTCATTGTGGTTTTGATTTGCATTTCCCTGATAATGAGTGATTTTGAGCATCTTTTCATGTCTGTTGGCCATCCATATGTCTTCTTTGGGAAAATGACATTCAGGTCCTCTGTGCATTTTTTAATCAGGTCATTTTTTTTGGTGTTGAGTTATATAAGTTCTTTATATATTTTGGATATTAACCCCTTTTAGGATTTATCCTTTGCAAATACCTTCTCCCAATCAGTAAGTTGCCTTTTCATTTTTTTGATGGTATTTTTTGCTGTGCAAAAGCTTTTTATTTTGGTGTAGTCCCAATAATTTATTTTTGCTTTTGTTTCACTTGCCTCAGGAGACATATCTAGAAAAATTAAAGAAATTACTGCCTATGTTTTCTTCTAGGAGTCTTATGGTTTCATGTCTCACACTTAGGTCTTTGATCCATTTTGAGTTTATTTTTGTGTATGGTGTCAGAAAGTGGTCCAGTTTCATTCTTTTGCATGTAGCTGTCCAGTTTTCCCAGCACCATTTATTAAAGGGACTGTCTTTTCCCCCTTGGAACTGTCCTGGTTTTAAAGCAGAAAGTTCCTTGTCCCTGGAATCTCTTAGTCCCAAGCGAGGTGGGAATGGTTGGTCACCCTACTTAGAGTGTGATGGTGCTAGGGGGAACATAACATGGACATGGTACAGGAAATGAGATTGGGGCAGGGGAGGGGGCCCCACTTTAGATTGGGTAGTCAGAACAAAATGGAGAGATGGTGTTATGGATCTCTTTTTTACAAAATGGGATCTGAGTCTCAGAGAAGTGAAATGAGTTCTCAAAGGTTACATGGCTAGTAAGTGGTTTTCTGATTTCTAGTCCACCATTTCAGTGGCCTGATGTCCCACTCTGCAGGTAACTGAGGGTATATAGAAGACAGAGGCCATGTCCTCCTCCTGAGTGGTCCCTTCTTATCTGTTGCCTCTCTTAGGTGTGTTGGCTCTCCATCTTTCCCTCTCCCACTTCCCTGCCACCTTTTTATTCTCTGCAATGGCATCCTGTCATCTTGAGCTTTACCCTGATTGATGCAGCCCTTCAGTCCTTCCCTAACCCTCCCCCCACACCCCCATCTCACCTCTCTCTCAAACCACCTTTCATCTTTATGGAACCTTGAAGTGTGTGGGCCTGAAATGAACCCCCATGTTTTCTCAATTGTGGTCATTCTTAGGCAGCCAATTACTGAGTCCCTGTTTTGACGCCCAGGATAGAGGTTTGATGATTGGTCAATGGTGGTGCCATGTGCCTCCTCAGAGATGTGTTCCTTGCGACTCTTTCTAAAGGAGCCCCCCACTCCGGCCCTGCCAAGTCTCTGTCACACAACCTGTTTGCTTTCTTTTCAGTTCTAACCACTGACATCCCCAAACTTTGTTCATGCTAGTCCTCTCTGGAATTCCTTTCCCCATCACATCTGCTGTTATAATCCAACTTGTTTTTTAAAGGCCAATGCATGTATTATTACTTTTTCTATGAAGCTTTTCCTGACTTCTTCAGCCAGGAGGTCTCTTCCCTTCTTTGAACTCACACAGCACTCTGGATCTCTCTTAGGATACTTAACAACATTCTGCCTTATGCTTGAGTTTTATTTTTAACCTGTGTTTCATTCCTCCTAATAAACTGTGAGCTCATTCATTCATTCAGCCAATTTTTGATGATACTATGTGCAGGGCATTATTCCACTTAGCTAGGAAGAAGGACAGTTTTGAGCATGTAATTATGTGTCTTACTAACTTTGGTCAAGGATAGTACCTGATGCATAGTGGGTAATTTTGAATGGGTAGACAAATGGATGGACGGACTGATGGATGAAGGTGTAATTATAGAATGTGTGGGATGAGGGGGCTGAACTATTGGGTTTTTGGTTTGCTTTGGACATGGTGATAATAAGAGGTGACAAAGAGGAGTAGAGTGGGTTATGAGCTCATTTGAAGTGTATGAAGCTTGTGGAAATTTTTTTATTTTTAGAGAGAGAAGGAGCATGGTGGGGGGAGGGGCAGAGGGAGAGGGAGAGAGAGAATCTTAAGTAGGCTCCGCGCCTAGCATGGAACCCAATGTGGGGCTCATTCTCACAACTCTGAGATCAAATCAAGATTTGGATACTTAACCAAGTGAGCCACCCATGTGCCCTGAAGCTCATGGAATTTTTATACCATCCAGGTTTGCCACTTGACCATCACCATGAGCATAAATGTGGGGAAGGGACTGTGGAGGGTGAGCACAACTGCCCACTTTACTCTCCAGGGTCATTGCTGTTCAAAGAAATGTAACCCTGGTCAAAGCCATGACCATACCCTTTAGTAGCACCATGGTGGGCTCCCGACGTTGATCCAAGGCCCCTCCCCATTCTATATATCAGGTATTTTTTCCCAGGGCCCTCCAGACTGACATGGGGCTTGGATACAGTTTGTTTCATTCTTCGAGATTTTTGGTGTTAGACCATCTTCTGAAAAGACTTTGAATAGGTAGCCCCAGGCAAGAGGGTATGAAGAGAGAGCCCCCCAAAAACCCTTTTCTTCAGGCCTCTCCATCAGTGAAATGTGACCTTCTCCTAACTTTGCTCCTCAATGTCAGTGTCCGGTGTCCAGAGAATCAGCCAGGAGGGAAAGAGTTAAGTGGGGCCTGCTTTCACGTCTGGGTCCTGAGACTGCATTCCTTCCTCCTAGAGATCTGCCAGGCTGTGGGGCCAGAGGCTAAATTTAGAAGGTAGCTAAGATTTCCTGTTAACAGCTGTCCTGCCCCTCAGAAAAGAAGCACTGGAGAGAGGAGAGAGGTTGGTCCCTCTCACTGGTCGGAACTTTGGGCCATTTTATCTGGGTCCCTCAGCCCTTGTGTGACTGCCCTTTGGTGTGGAGATACAGGCAAACCCGTGGTGAGTGTGCTTTTCCCTTCGTTTTGTCCTGTGAGCCCAAGACTTACAAGCAGAGGAGGGCAGCAGCTCTGCCTTGAGTGTCAGGGCCTAGCCATGTGTGGGACCAGCCCTGAGGGATTTCATATTCCGCACGCAGTAGGCTGTGGGAGGGCGCCTTGGCCAAGGGTAACGACTCCTGTGGTCTTGGGTAGAGACACTGAGGAAGGCCAGCTTCGCCTCCCCCAGCAGAGGCAAAGGTGTATGCGTGTGTGCAGGCAGGCTATGTGCTTGTACGTGTGCCCACGCGTGCGTGTGGGGGCACACCCAGGGGTTTCGATAGAAAGATCTTTCTGGTCTAGGGAATTCACTGCTTTCCAGCTGCGTTAGCTCTATTCATGCAAACCCAGGACCCTGTTCCCCTCACTGCTTCCCTGCTGGCAACTGAGGAAGGAGCCAAGCTGTCATTTCTTAAATATCGTGACTCCAAGGTGGATAGTTTACACAGCTTGGGTGTGTGCGTCTTGGTGTCCTGGTTTAACGGTAGCTGGGCCAAGTCAGACTGGGTTTCCCCCCCATGGGTCCTCTCCCCACCAGAGAAGTAGCATGTGGTGACCTTCTCCCCGACATCACTGATATGCCCCTTCCCCTCCCCCCTCCCCAAAACCTCTAGATTCCCTAACCACATTTGTCATGCCAAACTTACAGTGACCAGCAGGCTGTCATGGCAACCAGTGGGGACCCAGAGGAGGAGCAGGTAGTCCCAAGTGAAGAGGATGAAGCCGACGTGAGGGCCGTGCAGGCCCAGTACCTCCGGAGCCCCTCCCCCAGCCAGTAAGTGTGCGCTTGCCATGCTCCCTGCCCCTGCAGCCCCACAACACGAGTGGGCGGGGGGGCATGATGAGATGTGGGCCCCGGGGGAGCCTACAGCTACCACCTTAAGTTCACTCATTCAACAAGTATTATTGGGTACTTTTTATGTGTCACACTTTCTGGAAGAGGCAAGTAAGCAAACAGACCGCATTTTGATGTGGCGTGGTAAAGTGCTGGAATTCGTATGCCTCAGGTCTAGGGCATGGTGGGCCAGGGAAGGAACCACTGGACTTGGATGGGTCATAGGAGGCTTCCTAGAGGAGGTGATGCTGGACCTGAACCTCGAAGGAGGAGTAGGAATCTGACAGGCCCACCTGGAGGGTGATGCTTGACTCACTAGGATTGAGGCTGAGG